CATCCATCCATCCATCCATCCATCCATCCATCCATCCATCCATCCATCCATTATCGTTACCTCTTATTCCCTAATGGGGTCCTTCAGATTAGGCATTAAATTCATCCATCTGAAGGTCTTCATTGGTTCAAATCATCATTTTAATGTTCAGTCTCATGTGGGGGAACTAAGGACTGGTCCACTCAGCTGATCATCGCATAATTAGATCAATAAGTTTAAAGTTTTTGAGACCCACAATGCTTTTTTTCCCCTCACAGCTCAGAGACGATAACAAAAAGCTCCACCCTTGTTTGGTGGACTTCCTGAGCCTGCCTGAGCCGGAGAGGAACTACAACCTCCAGATGTCTGGAGAGACTCTCAAGTGAGTGGATGTCTGACTTTGTGTGGACCTTAAAATGGGGGTCATGCCCCTGGACTCTGTTTGTGACATGTTTTGTCCTTCAGGACTCTCCTGGCTTTGGGTTGCCATGTTGGCATGGGTGACGAGAAAGCAGAGGAGAATCTGAAGAAGATCAAGCTGCCCAAGACGTAAAGAGACGAATACCATTTTACATTCCGTATTCGATTAATTTCTGTCTGAAAGTGAAAGTGAAAGTGAAAGTGGTCTGTTCTCTAGATACGTGATGACCAACGGCTACAAGCCCGCCCCCCTGGACCTGAACCACGTCAAGCTCACGCCAAACCAGAACCAGCTGGTGGAGAAACTGGCGGAAAACGGTCACAACGTCTGGGCGAGAGACCGGGTGCGACAAGGATGGACCTACAGCATCGTGCAGGTGGCTTTTTCTACCTCCTTTATTTGTTTGGTGGATCTAATCTGTTTAGATTAACCGGCTTTGCCATTAAAGACTAGTCTCATACAGCTCTCAGTATACGTATTTAAGCCTTTAAAGCCTTATCTGGAGAGAAAATAGGGGAATTTTTTTTTTTTTTAAGTCACTATTTGGTTTGTGGGGAATTATGGAATGGTCGTCTTCAATTAGCTCCAGTGAAGGTGCTCCAGGAAAAACTGAGGCAGAATTGGTGGGAAAAAGAGGATCATATTGTCAGCCAGGTCCCAGTCAGAAATTCAGATTGACGCATAAAGTCTGGAGAGGTCTCAGACAAAACTCTGCGTAACTCTGTGTGTGTCTGCCCTTATATTTAGTATTCCCATATCTGTACTTTTTGCCTTACGTCAGGCTTTTTCCATCCAGGCGTGCAGCCTGAATATGGTTCTATCCATATCATAAACCTTTTCCTTTTTTGGTCCTCCACCAGATCGTCTTCCTCTGGACGTACAGCTAGAAAATGTTTGGTCCATACCATGAACATCTCCTTTTCTGTCCTCCCTACTCTCTACGTTGGGAATGTGTTTTCCCTGGTGTTTATGCTCTACGAACAGAAAAGTGCTTACAGGCCCTTTAAAAAAACCTGTAAGAAAATAATCATAATTTATTACTGTGGGATAAGTCAGAATGAGTGTCGGTGGTCTCCTGCCTGCTGGTATCGGGTAAATCCGACTGTGTAAAACAGGATTTTTTGCATTAAATGTTGTGTTGTTCTCTCATCCCTTTCAGGACATCGTGAATAGGCGAAACCCTCGTCTGGTGCCGTACAACCTGCTGGACGAGCGGACCAAGAAAACCAACCGGGACAGCGTCAACAACGCCGTGCGCACCCTGATTGGCTACGGCTACAACATCGAGCCCCCCGACCAGGAGAGCAGTGAGTCGAATGGCCCTGAACGCTCCAATCAGATGGCTTCATAATGGCTTTAGCTGGTGTCTGGAGCCTTAGCAACACCCCCCCTAACCCCTCCTAACCCCTCCTAACCCCTCCTAACCTGTGTTTCTGCAGCCGGCCACGGCCTGGAGAACACCCGGGGGGACAAGGTGCGGATCTTCCGGGCAGAGCGGTCGTACGCCGTGACCCAGGGCAAGTGGTACTTTGAGTTTGAGGCGGTGACCACCGGGGAGATGAGGGTGGGCTGGGCTCGGCCCAGCGTGCGCTCCGACACCGAGCTGGGGGCCGACGAGCTGGCCTATGTCTTCAACGGCAACAAGGTCGGTTTATGAAGTTTATTTATTTAAAAAATATTTATCCACCCATCCATTTTCATAATCGCTTATTCACTAATGGGGTCATGGGGGGGACTGGAACCTAACCCAGTAGTCAATGGTTATGAAAATGTATATTATTATTATTATTATCATAACAACAACAATAACAATAATAATAATAACAAACATTAATATTATTATATTCATTTATTATTACTATGATATTATTATTATTATTATTATTATTATTGTTATATTCATTTATTTAGAAATATGTTTTTTGGGGTATTTATTTAAAATTTGATTAAGTTTAATCCAGTTGAAATGAGACTGGGAGGATAACCTTCCACAATTTTATTAATTTGAAAAGAGGGCCACTTCACTTTGTTCCATCCATCCCAGTCCTGTTTTTCTGAGAGGATTCTTACTTTTCCTTCGGCTCAGTCCTGCAACACTTAGAGCAGAGGAAATTTTAATATATTAAATGTGTTTTTTCCCTGGAAAAGATGTGTACATGAAGGCAGTAATCAGATTACACATCAATGCTGTATTTGTATCTATTTATTTTTATTCAAAGCTGTACTTTATCTACTGTTGGGACTCTTTCTAGGCTCAAAGATGGCACGTGGGCAACGAGCCGTTTGGCCGGCAGTGGCTGTCCGGCGATGTGGTCGGCTGCATGATCGACCTGACGGAGATGAACATCATGTTCACGCTGAACGGGGAAATGCTGATCAGCGACTCGGGCTCCGAGATGGCTTTCAAAGACATCGAAATCGGAGAAGGTGAACATTCATCTAAAGGCCGTTTATCTAAAGCCGGGCGTACACTGTGCGATTTCTGCCCCTTTTTGACTCGATTTTTCACTCGATCTCATATCGGGTCATATAGTGAGAACAGAAATCGTGAGCTGCGACCTTTGACCCCTACGATTTGGTGGTGGAGTTTGTGTCAGGAGGTGGATCTTAGGGTGGACTCAGATGCGGAGATCAAGGTAACATGGGTTTATTGGAACCAAAAACACTCAAACTGAGTGGATGCAGACAAAGTTCAAAACAAGGCTGTGACAAAACTATGAACAAAGTGGCAAAGCAAGATTAACATGACTGTGAACAAAGTATCAAATAAAGTAAACAAGACTATGGCAAAAGTATCAAATAAAGATTAGCAAAACTGTGGCAAGGTAGGGCTGTGACAAAAACAAAGCTATGCCACAAAAAGCAAGACTGTGGCAAAAGTGCAAAAATCAAAACCTTACGTGGCGAGGAACAAAGGACACGAACACAAAGTGACGAAAGGTGACAAAAACGCACTGGCACAGGACAGGGGAAACAAGGACTATTTAAACACATGAGGGAGGGGAACCCCAGGTGTACACAATAGGTAATCAAGACATGACGAGACACCAGACATTCCCCCAGACGTGACAGTTTGAGCTGGAGCTACAAGCAACGATTGGAAATATAATAGCACAGTGTACGTCCGGCTTAATCCGATCAGTCACTGATCTTTTGCTCTCTCTTGATAATTTTCTGGCCTTTTCCTGCAGGTTTCATCCCCGTGTGCGCGCTCGGCCTTTCTCAGGTTGGAAGAATCAACCTGGGCCAGAACGTCAGCAGCCTGCGCTACTTTGCCATTTGCGGTCTGCAGGAGGGATTCGAACCTTTCGCCATCAATATGAAGAGAGACATCACCATGTGGTTCAGCAAAAGCTTGCCCCAGTTCGTACCAGTTCCCACCGACCACAATCACATCGAGGTAACTTTAGAGACAAACTTTAAATCAGGATAAATAAGGAGGTGTGGGTCAGAGAAAAGGAAATGAAACCTCCCATGAGGGGATGTGAACCAGCAACTTTTTTATAGGTGGCTACATTAGCTATTGCTAATGTCTGAAATACATTTTTACACCTAACTGTTAAGTAATTTTATTTATCTTTAAAGTGCAAAGTTTAGTTCTCCCCTCCAATTTTGCAATGGTCTCTTCCAGGCCATTTAAAAAGGTGTTCAGTCCTTCAGCCTTTAGTCTTTTAGCCTGAACACCCATCAGAAGAAGAGACAGAGTCTCAACGAACTGGGAAACGATCTATTTACTCACTATTCCAAAGATAGATTGTCACACTTGTATCTAATTTATTCGATTTGTTGGTTAAACAAGTCAACATCAGCTAAGAGGAAGCTGCCTTGAAACACCCCCAAACTTAATAGAATGCTTCAAACTGGTCAGCTGGCTAATATGTCCCCTTTAAAAACAGGTGATGGTTGCCTTCCTTACAATCTCTAACCCCCCCCCCCCCCCGGTGTCCCGAGGGGACGGGGCTGTGGACAGCGCCCCCCGTCTGAAGCTGACCCACAAGACCTTCGGGTCTCAGAACGCCAACACCGACATGATGTTCCTCAGACTCAGCATGCCCGTCCAGTTCCACGAGACCTTCAAAATCACGGCCGGCACCACCCCCCTCACCCGGGCCCTGACCATCCCGGAGGAGGAGGTGGTCGTGGTGGAGCCCGACTCCGAGTTCGAGGTGCTGAAGAAGTCGGCCAGTCGCAAGGAGCAAGAGGAGGAGAAGAAGGAGCCCTCCGTGGCCAAGGAGATCTCCATCGAGAACGAGAAGGACTCGGCCTCAGAGAAGGGAAAGAAAAAGGGGTTTTTCTCCAAAGCCAAGAAGGTTGCCATGACGCCCCTTGCCCCTCCCCCCGCCCCCCCGACGGTGCCTCGATTGGTGGAAGACGTGGTTCCCGACGACAGGGACGACCCGGAGATCATCCTGAACACCACCACTGTGAGGGGTCACATCCCTGACACACACACACACACGCACACACATACGTGTTTTTATTAAGGGCATTTTTTGGGCTTATAGAACTCTTTAGTATGTTCAGAAAAATGAGGACGTGAAAAATGTCCTCATATTCCTACGCGTCCTGATATTGAAGGTGTGTACCCACAAAATTGTCCTGATATATCATGAAAACAAACATACACACACACACACACACAAACGTGTTTTCATTAGGGGCATTTTTTGGGCTTCTGGAACACTCTAGTATGCTCAGAAAAATGAGGACGTGAAAAATGTCCTCATATTTCTACGCGTCCTGATATTGAGGTGTGATTTCACAAAATTGTCCTGATATATCATGAAAACAAACACGCACTAACACACACACACAGAAACACAGGTTTCATCATAAATCCCCTCTCCCTCCCAGTACTACTACTCTGTGAGGATCTTCGCCGGGCAGGAGCCCTCCGCCGTGTGGATTGGCTGGGTCACCCCGGACTACCACCAGTACGACCCGACCTTTGACCTCTCCAAGGTGCGGAACGTCACCGTCACCGTGGGAGACGACAGAGGCAACATACACGACAGGTCGGGCTTCCCCTCTTCGCTTGCCTTCACAATGCTGTGACCGTTGTCTTTTCTGTATTGCCCTCTTCTGGGGCAGATCCGGGGTCTTTAAGTCCCAGAATAGATATAAAATGTTTATTTTTACCCACCTCCCCCTGTGCTATGATTCTATACACATGTTAGGGTGCTTTTTGTAGCATTTCACAGGATCACCAACCCTGTGTAAGCTTAGAGTGAACATCTAAAGATGCAAAAATTTTAAGGCATTCGCAAACTTTTTTGTGTTTGTACTTTCTAAAGAGAGAAATCACGGTCAGTTTGCTAATAAAGCATGTTTGTGGCTTGTTTTCTCATTTTCAGCATGAAGCACAGTAACTGTTACATGGTGTGGGGAGGGGACCTGGTCAGCAACCAGCAGACTCGCTTCAGCCAGGAGGACATGGTGGTCGGATGCCTGGTGGACCTGGCGACCGGCCTCATGACTTTCACGGCCAATGGGAAGGAGATAAACACCTTCTACCAGGTCAGGAGAGCCCACGGCCGCTGTGGCCGCTTCGGTCCTCTGTTGTTAGGGTTGCCTCACTGTGGAGCTGTGTCGTTCCAGGTGGAGCCCAACGCCAAACTCTTCCCCGCGGTCTTCATCCAGCCCACCAGCCAGAACATGGCACAGCTGGAGCTGGGAAAGCTCAAGGTCAGAACCCCCAACGGCTGCTTGTTGGCTCTCAATCCCAGTCTCAGTGTGTCTTTTTAAAGTATTTATGGGTATATTTATGCATTTAGCAAATGTTTTTATCCAAAGCGACTTACAAAGTAGACACAATTTTACAGTTATCAATCTGACAATAAGTTCTCAAGAGGAAAATCTCCCAGTCAGAATCAGTGGTGGCAGCAAGAGAGAGAGAAGGAAGCACAGAAAAAGTAGTAGGGGGGTATAGAGGTATGGGGAGGAGTTAGGATAGGAGACACTGTTTGAAGACGTGGGTCTTTAAGAGTTTAGAGGTGGGTCTTTAAGAGTTTGGAGGTGGTTCTTCAAGAGTTCAGAGGTGAGAGAGAGGGAAGTGCAGAAAGAGTAGTAGGGGGGTACAGAGGTCTGGGTCAGGATAAGAGATGCTCTGTGAAGAGGGGGGTCTTTAAGAGTTTCCTAAAGATAGAAAGGGATGCTGTTCTTGTAGCACCTGGTATGTCGTTCCACCATCTTGGAACTACACATGAAAACAGTCGGATTTTCTTAATGTGGAGCAGCTCTGCTAAAAGACAACCCACTGATGACTGGAGTGACCGAGTTGGGACATAAGCCTTTGCAAGAGGGTTCAAGTAGACGGGAGCCAAACCCTTAAGCACTTTATAGGCCAGAATCAGGGACTTGAATTTGAAGTGGGCAGCCAAGGATAACCAGTGTATTTTCAGTTTCTAAGAATTTTTTCTTATAAGACACCAATTAACTAGGATCTACTAGGATAACTTAGTGTTTTTACTAAGAAATGGTGGAATAGTCTGTATGGTTAACCATGAGTCCAGTTGAATTCTATAGTGTGAAACGGTCTGTGCATGAATAACATAACCATCATAGCGATATGATGGCGGTTTTCTGTCTCCCCCCGTGGGTCTAATCCCTCTTATCCCACTCACCTGTTTGCTGTGAACATATTTGCTCTGGGCTTCGATGGCGACCCTCTCCTCCTTTGCCTCTTTTGCTCCAGAACATCATGCCCATCTCGGCCGCCATGTTCCGCAGCGAGCGCAACAACCCGGTGCCCCAGTGCCCCCCCAGGCTGGACGTCCAGATGCTGACCCCGGTCATCTGGAGCCGCATGCCCAATCACTTCCTCAATCCAGATGTGGGCCGGGTGAGCGAGAGGATGGGCTGGATGGTGGAGTGCACGGAACCCCTCATCATGATGGCCCTGCACATCCCCGAGGAGAACAGGTCAGATTCTGGCCTCATCAGGTCAAAATGCCAGCCAAGACTTAAGACTTGTCTGCTGAAATGACAGGGTTGGAGTCTATTTGTGAGCATTTTCAGATCGATCTGCTCTGTAGATGCTGACAGGGAGAACCTCATTACAATCCAGCTTTCAGGAGCTTCTGAGCTGACTCAAACAAAAGAAGCCGATCAGTTTATTTTTTTCTTGTTAATCTCTGTTTCCTGTTAATTCTTGGCCAGGGATCCCACGAGGCCACATACTCTTATTTAAACCTACAGCAGGCAAATCAACTAGATTTACTGCGCAATGTGGACTTCTAGGCGGCACGTAGGTGGGATGGTTAGGACCGTCGCCTCACAGCCAGAGGGGGAAACAGGACCTTTCTGCCAGAGGATTCTAGGTTAGAGTCCCAGGGGAACCAGGACCTTTCTGCTAGAGGGTTCTGGGTTGGAGTCCCGGGGGAACCAGGACCTTTCTGGGTGGAGTTTGCATGTTCTCCCACCGTCCAAAAACCTGCATGTTAGGTTGGTTGGACAATCCAAACTGCCCTTAGGAATGGACGTGAGTGTGCATAGTTGTTGGTCCTTGTGTGTCTCTGTGTGTCCCTGTGATGGACTGGGGACTGTCCAGGGTGACCCCGCATCTCCCCATTGGCTACTGGGATACGCTCCAGTCCCCCTAACTCCATTAGGGAACAAGCGGTAACGATAATTGATGGATGTGGACTTCTAATCGTATCTCCATCTCTGACCTTTTCACGCAGGTGTATCGACATCTTGGAGCTGTCGGAGCGTCTGGACCTCCTGAAGTTCCACTACCACACGCTCATGCTCTACTGCGCCGTGTGCGCGCTCGGCAACAACCGCGTGGCGCACGCCTTGTGCAGCCACGTGGACGAGTCGCAGCTCTTCTACGCCACCGAGAACACCTACCTGCCCGGCCCGCTCCGCTCCGGCTACTATGACCTGCTCATCAGCATCCACCTGGAGTCGGCCAAGCGGGCGCGGCTGGGCACCAACAGGGAGTTCATCGTCCCCATGACCGGGGAGACGCTCACCATCAGCCTCTATCCCGACACCAAGAAGGCCCACTCCCTGCCCGGCGTGGGTCTGACCACCTGTCTACGGCCAAAGCTGCACTTCTCCTCCATCAACTTCGTCGGCACAGACCCAGACTTGTACACCATCAGCCCCGTGTTCCCTCTACAGGTAAAGAGAAGAGCGATAACTTTCTTACAAATGAGTCCTGATCATTTCAGTCAAGATTTCTATCCAAATTAAGGCACACAAAAAACATTCTGGCCTTTTTTTTCCCTTCATGACGAGGAAAATGCAAGGAAGGGTCAGGGCAAGGCTACTCAAGGACACTGTCAGAATGGTACTCAAGGCAGGACTCAGTTGCAGAGATCTTTTGCAAAAAAAATTTAATTAAACAAAGGCGCACTCTCACGGAACGGAAGACAAGGCAAATTACAAAATAAGAACACTCAAGAAAACGAGGCAGACAAAGCTATG